CTCATGCGTTATTTGCATACAAGCCAATTACTCTTCAAAAGACCTTAGTGAAGACATCTCTCTTCTTAGGCAGATAGCCCTCTTATGTTTTGCCGTAAGTAAAGAAACTAAACAATTTGTTATGTATATTTCTTTTATAACAAAAATGGCACAGAATTTCTTCCTATAAAATGGATTTTACATTTTATCTCAAACCCTACCTATTTCTATGTTTATTAAAAAAAAATTGAAATTTGCTAGAGAAACTTAAAGATAAGTGAGAGCAGCAGTTTTAAGTTTTTCTCCGTTTAGGAAAAATGCTAAGTCCGGCGCTGCATGTAGGAATTGATTTTTGTGGCGGGAGCAGCCAACTGGCTGACAAGCATCGACCTTCGAAAAGGGTATTGGCAAATCCGAATGGATGAAAAGACCAAACCTTTGACTGCATTTGCAACATGTAATGGAGTGTACCAGTGGAGAACAATGCCTTTCGGCTTATCAGGAGCCTCGGGGACATTCCAGAAGTAAGTGAATTGTGCTTTGCAGAGTCATAGTGATTATGCTCAAGCATATATAGATTTTCTCGAAAACATTTGAGGAACACTTGAAACACATTTCTCTGGTTCTGCACACTTTAGAAAAATTAGGAATTTCTGTACGTTTGAACAAATGGGGTTTTTCAGCTAAAAAAATCAAATATTTGGGGCATATAATTGGAGGAGGCAAGCATGGTCCTGATGAAGAAAGGGTCAAAGCAATTAGAAAACTCGTCAGGCCAGTCACAAAAAAAGATGTGAGATCGGTTTTAGGATTAATGGGATTTTATCGATCTTATATTCCCAATTATGCAGAAATATCGGCACCATTGACAGAGTTGACTAAGAAGAGGCATGCCAATATTGTTCTATGGGGGGAGGGGGGGAAGTTGGAACAGAATGCTTTTTTAACAAATTAAAGGATACTTTGTGCCAAGTGACATCTCTCTGCCACACCAAAAATATTGGAAAGCCATTTCAGATCCATTGTGATGCATCCAATTTGGCGGGCATAGGCTTGCTGTTTAACACCAGATAGACTAGAGAGTGGTAACTATTGTCCTATTGCATTTGCAAGCCAAAACCTCTCTCAAACTCAGAGAAATTGGGCAAGCATTGAGAAGGAAGCTATTTGGCCTAAATAAATTTGATAAATGGATCTATGGGGCTCAGGTAGAAATTATAATGGATCACAACCCTCTCAGATATTTGAACAAAACTAGTCCTCGAAGTCCCAAATTGACGAGGTGGGCCTTGGCATTGCAGAAATGGAACTTGCGGATTAGTCATAGGCCAGGGATCCAGCAACAAAGTGCTGAAGCACTTTCACGTCTGGATCAGATATGATACGAGTAATATAATTTGATTTTTTTTTTTTTTTTTTTTTTTTTTTACTTGTATGGTTGTAATCATTTATTGTTTGTTCTGTTTTGTTTTATTTAATACTGTACGAGGTTGGTATTGTGTAAAAGTAGTGTACAGAAAATTTGCTTGGATATTGATTAATGAAATACGTCCCAAAGAAAGGACAAATTTCATTCTTGGCATGTCATGCACATACTTGGTAAGGGGAAGCTACCGACTAAGCCCTGCCGGAAGAACAGTTAAGCCAACAACCTCAAGTTGAAAGGAGAGAATCTGGCAACGAGAAAAAGTGTGCTTGATGCCAGAAGGACGGCATGCTCGTGTGAAAAAAAAACAGTCTATCTGAAAGGAGAGAGGAAAAAATCTGGCAACGAGAAGAAGAAGTGTGGTTGGTGCGAGAAGGACGGCATGCTAGTGTGAAAAAATTTGAAATGGGTTTTTCTGTATTACGAGAGTTTTTTTTTTTTTTTTTTTTTTTTGTTTGTTATGAAGTGAAAGGTGCAATGCAGTACTTGTGCGTTTGATGCAATTGTGAATAAAAACAATACTTTGTGAAAAGATTATGTGTATTTACAAAATGAAAATATAGCTCATGTTATTGTTAAACCTGCATAAGTGTCCCAGTTTATTTCCTGCAAATAGAGTTGACTAATAACATTCATAAGTGGATGGTAATGAACTGACAAAGATGAATTGGTCCAGGATCGTTTGATAAGTGTGACAAAGAAAATGTGGATGAAAGAACTTAGATGACAAGGAATATGGCTGAGTGATTACAATAAGGAGGAAGATCCTCTACTGCAACCTACAAAAATATAACTTCTTATTGGGGCAGATATTGCTGGGAAGCTGATGACTGGCAGAGTGAGGAAATTTAAATGTGGATTAACTGCAACTGAAACTTATTTATGGTGGACGGTAATAGGAAAATTATCAAAGGTGTATATATATTTACACATGAAGATACTATTTCTGTTTTATTCTTGTTCATTAATGAAAGTGCAGTTGCCGATCTTTGAAAGCTTGAAGCTATTGGTGTCACCAATCCTCCAAAAAGCCTTCTAAAACAAGACTTGCGAGCAGCTACGTTGTATAAATTTCGCGAAACCATAAAACAAGATGAAGATGGTAGATAACAGTATCGCTGCCGTGGTTGGAGAACTCTCTGAAAAAAGACTTTTGATTACTGTTGGTAAACTTGTTGCTAATGGTCACTTGAATGATTATCAAGTTTTTAAGGACTGGAGTCTACAAGGTATTATAGAAGAAGTTCCATTGCAAGATTGCAAGATCAAGTCGGACTCTATTTACCGCATCATCCAGTAATAAATCATTCTTCCACTACTAAAATCAGACCAGTATTCGACGCTTCAGCACATGAAAAGAATTTTGTTTCTCTCAATTCTTGCTTAAAAAAGGGTCCCAATCTGTTAGAACTAATACCTTCTATACTTTTACAATTTTAATTGAAAAGATACAGAGTAACAGCTGGTTTACATCAAGCCTTTTTGCAGATAAATTTGAATTCACAAGATAGAGATTATTTGAGGTTCTTGTGGTATGAAGATGGTGATCCAAATAACTTAGTGATCTATAGACATTGTACCATTTGGAGTAACTTCAAGCCCTTTTTTATTAGGTGCTACTATAGCATATCACTCGGATAATGTGGAGGAGGAAATTCAAGAAACGGCCAGCAAATTGAAAGAATGATTTTACGCCGATAATTGCGTGACCAGTTTCGACAGTTTTAAAGAAGTTTATGAATATGGAAAAACAGATAATGTCAGATGCTTAATTTGAGCTTCGGGACTGGCAGTACAATACACCTGAAAAAAATGATGATCCTGGATTATTCTCAGAAAACGAACCTTCTTTGAGGGCAAGTGAAAATACAACAAATTGTATTTCTGTACTGGGCCTTGTATGGGAGATAAAGGAAGATACCCTCTGCTGTGACATAAAAAAAATTTCCTTCTAAAGTCCCATTAGTAACGAAAAGGAAAATTTTATCCTTAGCATAAGCGATTTTCGACCCGCTTGGATTCTCTTGGCCTTTGACACTGCTGCCAAAATTATTATTACAAGAATGTTGCAGATCAAAACTCTCGTGGGATCAAAATGTGCCAGAGAAGATTCTGAAGAAGTTTAATTTATGGCATAGTCAAATTTTTGTATTGAAAGATATTAAAATTCCTCATTGGATTGCAAAATGCTCTCAAATTTATGAACCTGATAAATGGAATCTGCACGTATTCTATGATGCCAGCAAAATGGCCTATGCTACATGCATATTGATTAGAATAGAAAATAATGAAGGTGTACATTGTCAGTTAATGCAAGCTAAGTCCAGAATAGCTCCAATGAGAGTGAGAACAATAACTTGCTTAGAATTATTAGCTTGCCTAATTGGTGCTCGACTAGCAGCATTGGTAAGAAGAGACTTGCATCTAATTGATATTAAAACATTTTGCTGGACAGATTCCAGAAATGCTCTTTGTTGGATTAAATGAGAAGCTGTTTGGGCTACATTCGTGGCCAATAGAGTAAATGAAATTAGAAAACTAAGTAGCATACATGATTGGTATCACATTCCAGGTCACAAAACCCAGCAGATATAGCTTCAAGAGGATGTACAGTATGACAATTAGTGAAGGGTCAGTGGTGGAACGAGCCGGAATGGCTGAAGGAAAACTTAAGGATGGACACTTATTATGAACTAGTGCAATCCGACAAATCTGTAATAAATTTGGAGAAAAGAAAATGTGCCATAACAGCTACCAGCATTATAAATACAAGGGATTTATTCTACAACAGATATTCTTCATATAAAAAGATAGTAAGGATGATAGCTTGGATAAAATGATTCGGCAAAAATGCCAGAAATTTACCTAAAGATCGTATCTTCAGTAACATCACTTTTGCGGAATATGCAGAAGCAGAAAATATTCTTTTAAAATTAACACAAGAAGAAAATTTTGAATCTCATGAAGACAAACAATCATATTATTGCAACCTTTTGTGGATAAGAAAAGACTGATATGAACTACGACAAAGATCTCTCAGAGAAAAGACAGTAGAAATTTTCAATTTCCGATAATTCTTCCTCCCAACCATGTTATTACCAACCTGTTAATCAAGGAAAAACACGAGGAAAATTCTCATGCAGGTATTCAAGCCTTAATGGCAATTCTGAAAGAACAATTTTGGATTCTCAAATGCTGGCATACAGTTCGTCGTGTAATAAAAACTGTGGTCTGTAAATGATTTAAAGTAACCAATTTTGACGTAAACCCCATACTATTACCAGAGGAGAGAGTAACAGACTCTGCAGTTTTCCAAGTTACGGATGTCGATTTGGCTGGACCTTTATACCTTCGAAGCTAGAAGAAGGCATGGATAGTGATATTTACATGCACCGTTTATCGGGCAGTACACATTGAAATTTTATGCAAAGCCTGAGAAAATAGCTCGGAGAGGAAAACCAAGTATTATATATTCAGACAATGGTACTAATTTTATGGGAACTAATAACCTTTTCCAGAAAACTTATTGGAAGGAAGTGGAGGGAAAAGCCACGATTAAGAAAATTAAATGGAAATTTAATCCTCCTACATCGGCATGGTGGGAAGGCTGATTAGAATTATAAAGGACATGTTGAAGAGTATTTTAGGCAGGACAAGCTTAGATTATGAAGAATTACTCACTGTGTTATATGAAGTTGAAAATGTTATCAATTCCCGTCCTTTGACATACATATTGGAAGACATTCAAAATTTAATGCCTTTAAATCCAAATAAGTTTTTAAGGGACAATGTAGAAGGTTCAACGATTGAATTTGATCACATAAATGGAACAGAGTTGAATAAATGTTGGCAGTATTTTCAGAAACTTGGAGAAGATTTAAGAAAAAGATTCAGAGCTGAATACTTAGGACAACTTAAAAATTCTAAGAAAGCCAGTAAAATCAAGGAACAAGTGAAATTAGGAGATATAGTTTTGGTTGGGAATGAAAACAGCAAACGGATTGATTGGCAGCTAGGAAGAATAATTAAGCTGTATCTAGGGAAGGATAGACATGTTCGTGGTATTCAAGTAAAAACAAGGAATGGTGACATAGTAAGACCCTTGCAGAATATTTATCCTTTAGAAATGAGTGAGCAAGCAAAGAAAATGACGGTTTTGCAGTCTATTCCGAATGGAAGAGTCAAAGCAGACCTGAAATCTCCACCAGTTACTTCCAGGAGTGGGCGAATAATACATAAGCCAAAGAGATTTGTTCTGTGATGTTGAGTGCAATTCCAACATACTCAAGGTGGGGAGATTGCTACGAAACCACGAGCTGATAGGCAGAGGGCACTGACTACAACAGCGCTCAAGCAATGCAAATGTTTTTGAGATAAAAATAAACAGTTGAGAACTAATTAACAGAAAAAACGGTCCCATGCAAAAACAAATGCAGAACTGTAACAAAATTTTTGGTGATGTATATATTTTGTAAATAGGTTGTAATAAAGTTTGTTCTAATAGCTTTACATTATTGGATTTGTGAAGATCTACCTGGCAATCAGACTGAACGTAAGTACAAAGTAAATTTGATTTATTAATTTGATATTTTCTATTCTTACGTAACATAACACCACCTTTGAAAAAGCACAACCCAATATTGTATGTTTTGCACATGCACCGGGATCCGTATCAGATTCACTATCTGAAGCAATTCGTGTGAGCCCTCTCCGATCCATTTGGAAAATAATTAAAAATCCGAATAAATAAACTAATATTATATCTACAATTATAAATTAGAAATTGTAAAATAAAATTAAATAAACATCTACAACTCAAAACTACTAAACGTAGCGCTAACGAAACTTTGAATGAAAGCGAAAAACTGCTCTAGTGAAAAACCAAACAGATAACTGATAAAATTACCCTTGACCTTCAGAAAATCACCCCAACAATTTGTTAGTTAATAACCAAACATCCCCTCCCCCTCCCAAAAAAAAAGAGAGAGAGAGAAGAAGAAAGAGAAAACAGGAAATGAAACACAGATGTGGACCCACCTTTCTGTTGTCAATGAACTGACCGATGACATGCAGAGAAACAAAGTCTCTCAGTTGTCCTAGAATCTTGGTACTAGAGTCTTGGTGTGTTCGATTTTAGGCAAGATTTCAAGGTAAAAATTTAAAACTAATACAGAATAAGGAGATTAGCATACAGCAAAGAATGAAAAAAAAAAAAAAAAAACATAGAAATTCCTTTTCAAATAATCCCTTTTATATGTCTTTTATACGTCCTTTTATATGTCTATATACACTGTGCGCGTTGAAAAAAAAATCTTCAAAAATTTGCTTAGAGTCCATACACAATCAAGTAGCTCTTTTTTAAAATGCTATAAAACTTATTGCAGGTCACAAAATTTCATTAATCGAAGTAGCAAATGAAGTTAATAATTTAAAATTTTAGTGTCAAGAGCAGTTAGAAAATAATTTTCTCCAATTAACTTTCCATAATAGTATTGTTGCGTGCGTACGGGTTCGTTATGAAAGGAATGCACAAGTCCGATGAAAAATGAACAAAAATTTATTATTATCACAACAAAATGCTTAAATTTTCTGAAATTATGATGCAGTATTACAATATCTCACAGTAGTTATCTTTTAACTACTCAAATATCCAATAGAACGTAATTCAAAACAGCTAAAGAACGCTAATCCGCGAATTCGCTACAATCAACAAGAGCAGTTTTCTAAACAACAACAAACTAAGCAACTACTACAACTGAGATGTTTTCCTCCTTTTATAAGATTTTAAAATCACGCGCTAGAATTTTCCAGTACTTTCTCGAAATCAAAAAGAGATATTTATTTATTTAATGCACGCGCTCTTGTATTTTTAATTTTCCGGCTTAGCTTTCTTCTTTTAATATTCGTCACGCGCTGCACTGCGGGGGAAATAAAACCATTTAATTTGTAATTGAACTAACATTAGCTTTTTAAATACCAAATTCGTAACAGTATAAACCAGCTAGAAGAACAAGGTGCAATAAATTGTGCAGATATCATGAATCACGTTAAAAAGTTCTATAGTAGCTGCATAGATTATTTAGAAGACATTTTCATTGGGTTACATTAAAACAAGAACTTAATTGGAATGATGTGGAAAAATCATTCAATCATATTACTTAAAATTTCCGATACAGCAATATTTCCGAAAGTGATACTTCTAATGAGGTATCATTATTAAAAAAATATATTGATAAGGAAAAGGTTAAATCTTGCACATGGGCAAAAATCACAATAGAAAACAAATGGTTAGAAATATTTCATCATTTTGAAACAAACCATGTTCCCTACAATAATGCGCTAAAAAATGAGGAATATGCTCTGTCCTTACCAGGAACTAATACTGCGATTGAACATGTCTTCTCCTATGGTAAATAAAGTGTGGACATCAGAAAAATCACAATTAAGTGTTGACACTTTGAAAGCCGTTTTATATGTGAAATATAATTTAACAAGTTCTTGTGAAAAGCTTCATGACCTTTTAAACAACAGCAATAATTTAATAAAAAAAAATCACTCAAATGAGAAATATGCCAAATAATAAAATAATACTATACATAATTTTTTAAAGTACAATATTTGTAAATTGTACTTATGTTGAAATTAAAAATATATTACAATACTATTTTTGCGTTCTATGAAAATTTCAGTTGCTTCATGTAAACCAAATTTTTAATAAAGACACTCCCCATTCAATGGTGTCCCGCTTTACCAATGTTAAAATCCGGTCACCTTACCCATAGGCCAACTTCATCAAAATTCCAAATGCAAGATAGTCCGCATAGTTAGCTGTTGAAGATTTATGGACATCTCTTTTCGGAATGTAAAATTCCCTTTTCTTAATGAGAAATTTTAATGTACCTTATTTAGGTTGATGTTATTTTAATATGCTTTATTTAGGCCCACAAGCAAAGAATGTTATGAATTTCCTAAGAATAAGAGTCCGAGCTAGATGTATCAGAATCCAAGAACTATCAAATTGATCTAGACAAACACACTAGGACTATCTACCTGCCGAAAGAAAGGTGTGTCTTTGTGCAAGACTTTTTAAATGAAAACTACGTATTTACAATATACGTATGGAATACCACAGAAACTCTAAGTCAGACAGGATCCGAAATCCAAGTCGAACTACTATTGTTCAGCGATCTTACTGCTTGGCCGTGGTGGACGCAGATAAAGTGGAACATGTGTCGGTTGCTCTCCAAATCGAGAGTTTTACCTCAAATGTATCCTTATCCTTATTTAACGTTGTATTTTTTAACCAATTTCACATACAATTATTTATACTCAGAACTTTTATAAGAAACAATATAATTAAGACACAATAACACGCCGAATAAATACTAATTCAGAAGTCAAACAACAAAAATCAGCGTTAATTTACAAAATTTTCACAGGACTAGTTTCGATGGTTTTACCGAACCATCGTAGTCCTGTGAAAAGTTTGTAAATTAACGCTGACTTTTGTTGTTTGACTTCTGAATTAGTAAGAAACAATATTTTGAAAAATGATGAGTATAAGCCAACGCAAAATAAACACATCAAAAAATTTAAACGATCCAATTAAATAATATTAATTATAATTAAAATACATTACATTAGTAAATTCTTATTAGCAAGCTTCCAAAATAAACACAACACACGTTTTACAGGCGTCTCAAGACCGGAAGAGGAAAATGCGTAACCTAATGCTGATTGGTTATTACAGGTCACGTGGTTTTCTTTCTTTTGGACGTCAGCATTAACACTAGAACTTAGCTGTGTAAGTTTACCACTTTTGGCGAAAATTTAATATTTAGAATCGCCAAAATAAAAACGCCATATCATAATTGCTAGTTGCATCGTTTGTGATGAATTACCAAAATAATTCATTAGTAAGATGGGGAATATTAAAAGGAGCAACAGTTTGCTTAAAAATTTAAGGTTCAGAAGTGGTGTCAGTTTTTTCAAAGTGAGCCAGAGTCAGGCCCAAATGTTAATACAACATTTTGTTTATTTAACACTGTTTATATTATATTGTAGTTCATTAGTTTGCGATGTGCTGTTTACCACTTTATGAGATGAATATATTTCAAAGACTAAAATCATATTTTGATGTTCAAAGTAAAGATATGATCACATTAAAATGGAATATATAACGCATTTTATAACATATGGAATTATTTGCATGCATTTCTCCGGTCATAACTAAAGAATTATAAAACAAAATTAAGAATTCAAGTGTGAACAGGCATACCAAACAGTATATTTGAAGTACTATAGTACACAGGAATTATATAGAAATTGATTTGAAATAACTGGGTTTGTATTATAATAAGTAAGTTGCAATGACAGAAATATTATGGTAATGCCATTGTGAATTAAAGTATATTTCTGCTATGCAATACTTTTGCAACTGATGTCAAAATTAAAATTGCTATATTTTATAACTGCAGACTGGTTTAATAGTTATAAGTGTATAATTTCCATTAGAATATCATTTATGTTATTGATAATTTGTCAGTATGTTTTCTGATGTTAAGGAATTACATATTAACATATTGTTTATTTTGAAGATACAACTTTTTTTGTACCTTTTTTTTTTTTTTTTTTTCAAATCCATTTCACTTAATAAATAATGTGAGGCATTTCAATATATATTCTTTCACAAGATATTTTGGCCCTGTTCTGTTATCGGAACCAGATTCAGAAATGTATATATCAGAGTTGGCCAAACTTCATTTCAGTAAGCACGTTTGAATTCAGGAATGTTTCGAGAGCTGCATCTTAAATTTTCTAAAAGCCACAAGTTCATATTTACATCATTATAGAAGTAGTGGAGGAGGTTTTAAATAGAAAGAAATCCCTGATAACTTTGTAAAAAGAGTCTAAACTAATTAATTACTTCCTTTTGGACACTGAATAGTTTTAGTTTACCATATTTCATACATATATTTTATATGCATGAGCCGCACAAATTGCCTGCAAGAGCCGTATAAGGCTCGCGAGCCACACATTGGCCACAATTGGTATATATATTTTGCATGTGCATATATATATGTATGCATACACACACAAATAGACATGGCACATGTATATACATACATACAATCAATCCCTCATAACAGAAGAGTATCAATATTTCTAGCAGCTGCTTTCTTAATTTTGCATGAGCAGTTATCCTCGGTTATGAAATCTCATTTTCATATTTGTTTGAACTACCTTTCTTCTATAATTCAAGGTAATTTCATATGTTGTATAAAAATTAAAAGCAGTTTTATAGAGTGTTCGTAAGATTATTCTTCATGTCCACCTGTGATTTTTTTAATATTGTGAAGTTAAGTCATTGTATTCCTGATTACTTGTATTTACATTCCACAATAAAATATGAGCAGCATATAAAAAGTGTGGTTTCATTTTGGCATGAATGCAACTTCAGTACTTGGTTTAAATTTCACGAAACTTTCCTGAGTCAATAGGTGTTTTTCTAAAAAATTAATACCATAAATACTTAAATGTATACACTTATGCATTATTTCATTTAGCCTGTTTATATTATAGACTTTTAAAAATTTAGTACCTTATTCATATTCAGTTCTTGTTCTTCATTTTTAATCTAACTGATATGCAGTTTGAAGTTTGCTCACATGGTATCAAGCTTGTAACAAATTGGTTAAATGTGGTATGTTATGTGTATTTTCAGGAAAATGGTGTATTTTCAGGTTTAAATATTTTTCAGCTTATATATCTTTAAATTATAATGTTTTTTAAATGTAGGGTTATGAAAACTATGTCAGTGCTTGCATTGTTATAGTATTCTGTATTAAGAATTAGTCAACTTTTTATATAAACCAACAGATTTTTAACATCTGAGATAAGTATGAGTAGTGTGCTCTCTAAATTTTTTATCGCTTAATATTCAAATTTGGCATCTTCGCTTATTTGTTATCTGATAATGAAAGGTTTTTTTACTTGTTTCATCCTCGTTATTCTCCATAATACAAATGAAATAGTTAAAAATTATCTTTCAAAAAATTAGCAAAAATATACAAATTTTATTCAGCTTTATTTTCCTAAAATAAACACTTGCATTTATGCTGGAAATAAAGCAAAGATAGCAAATTTTCGTTATTTCATATAGCCCACCAGAGGCCGAGCGGTTAAGACACTGAACACTGGTAGTTCGGTCCGAGGTTCGAATCCCGCGAACGTGCTGGCTGCATGGGCGTTTTCATGGTTTTTCCCATGTGTAACGTGTATACGAGCCAGTTTCCCTTAGAAAGTCCTCCACGAAGGCATCCTTCCCTTAGGCAGATAGCCGTAATTAAATAAACCAAACCAAAACCATTATTGATCTTCATCAGTAACTAATAATAATATATGTAAAACAATAATAATAATTCATAATAAATTTTCCTGGTCAAAAGACAAAAAAAAAAAAGTTAAAGTGAGACATTGAAATCAAATTATGAGCCATACTGTGCACTTTTATAACAACTTTTCCATATTAAGGAACAAGTAGTACAACAAATTATACATGGCAGTAGATAAAAAAATAAGTTGCATTTTTTGTTAAATTTTTATAAGACATTAGAATAAAAATATACAAATTGCACCCACACAGAAAAATAATCTTAGTTGTTAAAACTATAGTGTTCTGAAATTATAAGTTTTATAGTAATTAATGTATGCTAATTTTTTCAAATAAATGTATATTTGTGTGCTGAAACAGCTTAAATTAATAATACCATATACAGTCAAAAGTCGTTAATCCGGACTCGTCGGGACTTCGGCGATTCCGGATTATAGATCATCAGTTTAAATCTGGTAAAATGGCATGCAGAAATTATAAAATTAAAAATATAAAACCGTAATTTACGAAATAAAGAACAATTATGATCTAAAGGGTATCAAAATTTACAAAAAAAAAAAAAAAAAAAAAAAAAAAAAAAAAAGCTTAATAATATTTGTTTACTTTATTAAACATTTCTTTCAATGTAAGTTGTTTAAGTTGATTCGTTTTTTATGTGATAATACATTCTCTTTAATTCTATAATAAACAGACATAATTTCTTGTTCAGTTTACAAAGTTCCGCTGTTCACGTCCTATAATTGCTGTGTCGAGAATACCGACTAATTTGTCAATCGAAATTTTTTCGTTTTCAATAACCTCTGTCACTTTCTTCGCTATCGGAAGCGAATTATAATGACGAGGCATTTGATTTAAATCATATCAAAGATGGAGTACATCGAGATGAAATACTACATAGAGTAAGCAATTATAAGCCAAATAAAATAAAAACATCTGCCCTTAAAGATAAGGATAGTGAATTCATTGCACGCCCTGTTAAAGATAAACAAAGTTTAGATAAACAAACGTTAAAGTTTAGATAAACAAGCGTCAAAGTTTAGATAAACAAAATATATGCCTTTATCCATTTTTTGCAGCAATTCCACTTTTTGTGTAATGGACTCCGAAAGATACTTTCGCTTTGTATATCCTTTACATATTAGTAAATATATATCGAAAATTCTATTTGACATAATCCAAAGTTCAAGCTTACTTCTATAAAATTGCTCTAACAGTCTGCAAAAAATAATAAGCCGGATCCAATTCGAAGATTAAGGAACAACGCAAACTGCAACATTAACTGAAATAGATAATTAGATAATTTGAGCTTAGCTTATCCCGTCCGTTATACGTTAAACGCGCATTCGTAAACGTATTTTGCGCACGCGCAAATTCGCAGCGGTAAAGGTCTTACGCGCATGCGTCAATGCGACGCATGCGCAGAAAGGTTGTCGCTTTGAGGTCCGGATTATAGATCATTCCGGATTATGGGTGTCCGAATTAACGACTTTTGACTGTATATGTTTTTCAAATAAATGTGTGTGCTGAAATAGCTTTAATGAATAACACCGTATTCATTAAGCTATTTAATTTGAATATAAAAAGTTTAAGGGCTATATACAGAAGTCACGTAATATATTTTTCTTATTTATAATTGAACTAATAATAATTAATATAATTGAACAAAATAAGGAAAAGATCATTACAAACCTTGTTTTTTATGGAACTCTAAGTTTCATACATTTTATCATGTTATTATAATTATGGCGAGTCTTTAATCTTAATCTTAAAGTGACTTAAAACTAACTTAAAAGTGAGATCTTAAATCTCCTGTGGTGAGAAACAGTTCTAGACATCCTACTTCACTGAATTTAATATTTTTTTCACATTACGTTATGAATGCATGTTCTGTGTTTGCTTAAAATTGATGACGAATATGGCGTAACTTTAGCGACAGTATCTTTGTGCATACGTTTATGTGCTTTTAAATATCTCATCACATAGAAAGATGCACTGCAAGATTTGCATTACGTTTAAATATCTATATAATATGGATATGTTTAAATATCCATCTCAGTAATAAAAGCAAAGTGCAAGCTCTTTGATTTAAACAAACTGCTAACAATTGACGAGATACGCAGTTGGAGGAGAACTAGAAATAGAGCCAAAAACGTTTCAGGACTGTCATGTGATATAGTCAATGACAGTAAAGATAAGCATTTTGCATTATCTATCTTGAGATGCCTGTTGCAGCATGGCTCTAGAAACTTCTGGATGAATTGGTCACAGGGCTTCGAAAATAGTTTTTCGTGTCATAACGAACTTTGCATTTATCTTGCATAACACATCCTGCAGAGTATAAAT